GGGTGGAACCATTTGTGACTTCGTGTGAAGTCCCACATGCCTGGGGCTTTGCTCACTGAGCTGTCTCACTGTGGAGCCACTGCAGAATGTCACAGTGACCCAGGACTCCCTATCTTTCCTCCCAGGGCTACCTCCTGCTTGCTCAAGGGTTGGAGCCTGTGAGAAGTGTCCGTACTTTCACGCTGGCTCACGGGCTCTGCATGGGTGAGGGTGGCGCATGTGTGCGTATGCATGAGTGTGGGTGGGAAGAAAGCATTTTGGGGGACACTGGGCACATGTGGTGTTTTCCTTCTCCACCTTGTCCTAGGTCACAGGACTGCTTCAACTCGGCCCCTTAATGACACATGACCACTTGCACTTGCACCACTCCATTCTCTACTACTCACTGAGTCTCAGTTTTTCTTCATTTTGCTCTTCTACCTTCCTTCTAACCTCCATCATTATTCCAGTCTCTACGAGTCACCACGCTAATAAGCACGGAAGGCTTGTTCCTGGTATACTGCCTAACCCAAGGCCTGGTCCTCCCAGCCTCAGGCGGGCTCCGGGGCCTTGTAGTCTGGGACTCAGACTTCAGAGGATAAGAGTGAGGAAAGGCCAAAAGACTACAGAGTTGCAAACTCTTAGCCTACAAGACCCAGACAGCGAGTGAATCAGGAAGACTGCCACTCCAGTTTGTATGAATCAAGGCAAAACACTGCCCCCTGAGCTGGCTCTAGCAGTGAAGGTCCATCGGCTTGTTTCTCAGCTCTTTCTTGTTTCAAAGGGCATTCTCACACTCTCTGGGGAATTTGGGGCTGACTAACTGTGGTGAAAGATCAGTCCATCAACAGAAACTGAGCACCCACTATGTACCTAATAGAATATAGTCTCTAATCCCAAAGTCCATGAGACCTAGTTGGGAAGATAAAAATAAAACACATACGATAGTGTGTGAGATAATGATGAAATAGTAAAAAGCAAAGACTACTGGGATGATACGATAAGCAAATGCTACAGCAGTTCAGAGGAAGGGGAGAATCCTGGAGGGCAGAGGTGTTATAGAGGTGAGATGTAATGCATCACTAGTGAACGTTCATATCTGGCAGGATGAGTAGAAGTTTTATAAAACTTTTTATGGGCAAGGGGCCTAACAGAAACGAGGGCGAGAACTACTTGCAGCCAGTACTCCAAAGAAAAGAGCCAGAGGTTGGTCAACTGGTCTGCCTGCCTTCTAGCCCCCCAAATCTTTTACATTTCTTTATTAAAAAGTTTCCACCAAAAAGTCATCTTTATTGAACCTAAGGGTTCAGACAATGGGCATGTGATCTAGCACCCCTTAAAAATTCCTGGTTGAGTGGTTTCTCTTTCCTATGCTGCATCAACTAAAGCAGACTACTGGTCACCCAAGGAAATGGGATGAGAGAAGCAATCTGAATCAGGTGGCAAACACTGGCTTTAGCTGACAGAGGAGGAGAGGGCAATCCAGTGCTGGGAAGGCAAGGGAGCCCAAGGGAGGTTCTGGAAGCCAGGGCCTTTGCCTGCCCTGGCCCCTCCAGCTCCCAGAGCCTCCATTGTCACTGCTAAGTGCAACAAATGGGGTTCCATCTGGGGACCTTTTGATCTAGCCATCCCTACACTGTCCCACAGTGTTTAAGTTAGACTTTCTGCAGCATTTCAAGCTAAACCACATCAGACACCTGCATCAGAGTCAAGGTCTCTAGAAAAAGGAAAGCCCAAACATCCCTGCTTGTAGGAGAGCCTGTGGAAGAACCCCAATCATGGATTCTGATCATCTTCTAGCCTACTAGGTGTTTTTCTCCCCACCCAAGGTATCATTTGTTTTTCTTATCATTTCTTCCTCCAAAAGCAGCTTCATAAGTATGTACACACTTCATAGGTTTCTCCTCTGCTGTTCTCACCCAGAACTCCATCTGCCTAATTTGAAAATCACCCAAATTTAGTAACTTAAATTTAAATACTATCTAGGTTGTTTTTCCCTCACATGGAGGCCTTTGTTCAGATAAAATCTGACATTAAATCCTGATGTATATAAAACAGACACGAGTGAGCTGCTCAGTCAAAGAGGGCAGGGAATTGCAGAGATGGCCTTGAGTATCTCCTGCTTTTGAACTAGAGCTCTTTCATGGGCATTCAAGACTGAAGGTCAAGTCAGAGCAGGGAAAGGGGAAAGGTGGGGCCTCACGTGGAGGCGGGTCCATACATTTTCTTATCCCAGCTATAAATTCCAATCCCTTACTCTTAAGTCCTAGAAACACCACTTCTCCTATTCCTTCTGTGGGCTCTGTAGCTGATATGGGGTGGGGAGTAGGGGGAGAGAGGGTCCTGCTGTTGGAGTTCATACTTGAAGAGGCTGAGGGAGCTTCAGGTGCTGCACAGAGCTAGTTGGTCACAGGCTGTGAGTTCATGCTTCCAGGTGAACCCTGGAGGGTAAAGCTCATGTATGAGGACAGCAGGAGGCCCCAGCAGGCAAAAAAGGTAGACAGCAAATCCATCCTTGGGAAGGCCATCTAAACACCCAGTTACTTTCCCCAGGCCTTCTAGGATCATTAAGTAATTCATACCTCAAACCTATATCTAAAACCAACTGTGTGCAGAAGAATATGGTTGAGGTGATGCAGTCTGAATAACTGGATTTAGTGCTTGGCCTCTTTCTTTACGGGTGTCCACAGGACCCATGACTACCCCTGTTCAGGGGCACTGGAGCTCCCAAAATACCAGTGCTATATTCTGGGGAGGGCAGGACAGAGCCTAGACAGTTCATTCTGTTCTCACAGAAGATAAAGCTCTCCTTTTGCTCTCTCAGTTTCCATTGCCGATCTCTCCAAGGCCTAAGGAATACTTTGTCCCAGATCAAAATGATTCGTGGCCTCTGAGTACCTCCCTAACTCTCAACAGTTTCACTTCCTGAAATGTCACCGCCCAGGTTTCACATCAGTGCCAGAGGCACGTCTAGGTATTTTCCCTAGATAACTTATATGTTGGGAACTCTGAAAACATCTCATACTTTCCCTTCTCTCCTACCTCCTACAAGCAGCAGCTCCCTGCTGATTCTACCTCCCCCACTCTCATGATCAATTTTCTCCTCCCCGTCCTACCAGCACTGACAGCAGCTAGTGAGGGTGAGACCCCCAGCTGGTCTCTCTGCCCGTCATTCAGCCCCAGCCCCAGTTCATCTCATACTCTGCTGCCAGAAAGACTCCTCAAACACATTTCTGCTAACATCACTCTCCTTGTTTAAACCTTCTCCAGGCTCTTGTCACCTACAGAAAGAAGTTGGTTGGCTTGGCATTCAAAGACACCATGCCTGGGGGTACTCCTGTTCCTCTCCATTGCCTGGCCCTGGACTGTGTTCAGACCACACAAATTGACTTGCTGCTGCTCAATAAGCAGCCAAGCCTCCAAGTTCTCCCTAACTCCAGGTTTTGGCTCCCGCTTTCCCTTCCACCTTCAGTGTTCTGCTCTCATTTGTGCTGCATCTTTCCCTTCATTTGGGTCAGTTCCATTCTCAAGACCCTTCCTAGGCCCGTCAGGATGCAGCTGTATTTCCCACGTTCCTCCAGCAGGCTGATTGTTAGGAGACAGTCTGGGAGCAAAGCTCTTTCTGTCTGTAGCCCTCAGCGACAACATCTAATCACAAACCCATAAAGTTCTTACGTTCTTTCGTTGGAGAAAAACTGAAAATTAATTTTTTATTGTAATTTCAACTTTTCAAAGTCATTAAATATTAAAATAATTTAATAATATTATTTCACTGTGGCATTTACTGAACCACTGATTTGGGGATAAATGAACAACATGTATTTTTAAGGTATTCAATATTCAATGGTGACTATTTTTTTTTGAAACAGAGTCTTACTCTGTGCCCTCAGTAGAGTGCCATGGCATCAGAGCTCACAGCAACCTCAAACTCCTGGGCTCAAATGATCATCTTGCCTCAGCCTCCTGAATAGCTGGGACTACAAAAGTCCACCACAGTGACCAGCAAGTTTCTTTGTTTTGAGTACAGATAGGATCTTGCTCTTGCTGAGGCTGGTCTCAAACTCATGAGCTCAAGCAATCCACCAGCAATCTACTCCCTGAATGCTAAGATTACAGGTCTAGCCACTGTGCCCAGCCTCAATGGTGATAATTAACTCAGAACACACCAGCAAGTTTCTTTGTATTTAGTACAGACAGGGTCTTGTTCTTGCTCAGGCTGGTCTCAAACTCATGAACTCAAGCAATCTACCAGCAATCCACTCCCTGAGTGCTAGGATTACAGGTCTGAGCCACTGTGCCCAGCGTCAATGGTGATAATTAACTCAGAACATACCAAAAAGAAAAATATTGGCAGAGTATTCTACAAAATCCTTGTAAACTAAAGGAATGTGAAAAATTACCATCAGTTGCTTAATATCCTCGAGAGATGTTAACACAAGACAATATTATTCTGATGAGTCAATTGCCTAACTTCTGACTAAAGCAAAAAATCAGGGGGTAATTCTCAGTCCATAGCTACCTTTCAGTCTAAAGCAAAAGATCTGTATTATATGCATTAGAAAATCAAGCTATATCACAGAAGTTCTAAATATCAATAATCAGGCAGAACAGAGAGCCCCTGGGGAGATGCTGCTTAGTCAGAAGGGTGTCACCACACAAGATCTTTGCATTTGAGGAATCTGGCTTGAATTTGATTTTTTAGATACAAACACTGCTTATTAAATTTCTACCTTCAAAACGAATTTTTCTCTAGGATGTCCTAGAGCAAGGGTCAGCAAACTTTGGCTAGCAGATCAAATCTGGGAAACTGCCTATTTTTGTAAATAAAGTTTTATTGGAACAAAGCTGTGACCATTTGTTTACCTATTATTTATGACTGATTTCTCATTAAATGGCAGCATTGAGACAGTGACCAAATGAACAAGAAAGCCTGAAATATTCACTATCTGGCTCATTACATAAGTCTGCCAACCTCCTGTCCTGGAGCAATAAGGCAATGCAAAAGGATAAGGACAAAATACCTGTTGACTGGCAGGTGTTTTCTTGTGACATGGCGGTCGTTACAGTTTCCGTGGCTGCATCTCTGACAGCTTGTTCCTCACTCTGCAAGAGAGTGAGGACACACCTCCAGAGAGCAAGCGTATCCTGCAACTCTAAGAAAACCAAAAGGAATTTGAATCAACTAGAATGTAATTGACAAAGCAAGTGCAAACACTACTTCAAATTGCTGGTGGAACCAACAGCACTGGGACCAACAGCCATTTTTTTTTCTGGGTATTCCAAGACCAAAGAGTCAGAAAAAAGGCCAGAAAAGAGAAAGCCCTAAGGGGACAGATTTGGAAATGCCTTTTCTAGGGGTTCTGGAGGCCAACAGGCAAGGCCTCTGGAAGTTACTGCCCAGCTGACAAGTCCCTAGTGAGAATGATTCCCAAGAATGAAACTTTATACATTATGAGTGCCTTTGGGAAACTATCCCAGTGTTGATTTGCATGTTTGAGCTTACAAATTCTGAGGGCAAAATACCAATGAAGATTGTGCTTTGGGAGCAAGAACCAAGTCTGGGGAAGGGCCCATGATTAAGGTACTAGCCTATGTCCCTAGTATGTGGGGCCTACTATCTGACTGCTTTCTCCCTGGACATGGACTCTGTCTATTCAACCTGTGCTAGATGCTGCCATGGATGACGAACAGGAAAGGAAAGGACAGTATCTGCCTTTGATCAACTGAAAGAAATGTAAGGTCCGAACTCAAGGCAACCAGTCGTCAAGAATAAAACTGTGTGGGTGGCGCCTGTGGCTCAGTGGGTAGGGCACCGGCCCCATATACCAAGGGTGGCAGGTTCAAACTCAGCCCTGGCCAAACTGCAACAAAAAAATAGCTGGGCATTGTGGTGGGTGCCTGTAGTCCCAGACGCTCGGGAGGCTGAGACAAGAGAATAACCTAAGCCCAAGAGTTGAAGGTTGCTATGAGCTATGTGATACCATGGCACTCTACCAAGGGTGATAAAGTAACACTCTGCCTCTACAAAAAAAAAAAAAAAAAGAATAAAACTGTGTGTCTGTGACACAAAATAGGGAGGGATCACAATGGACTGCCGTAATTGAGACAGACTTTATGAAGAGGTGAGAGGTGAGCAGGGCTTCACGGAAAGGATGCTTCTTGTACAGGTGGGGCTTGTGGAGGGCTGTTAATGGAGGGCCATGGAAGACCACTGTATAGCATCTTTTCAATGTGCTAAGAACTCCCCTTGGTCTATCCTCTCCCTCATCTGTCTGTGGAGGACTAATGTCAGTTACTGACACTTTAGTCATACCAAGAACAGCAACAGCTCCCTTTGGGGTTTCATTCTCTTCTTTTTGTTACAGATCTGGCTTTATAGTTTACTCAATTGTTCTCTAGGGTCCAATACTTTCCTTCTTGATATTTTCTCTTTAATATGGTCATTTATACCCCTAAGATCCTTACCCCGTTTTTCTCTTTCTTTTTTTTTTTTTGAGATAGAGTCTCACTCTATTGCTCCAGGCTAGAGTGTTATGGCCTTAGCTTAGCTCACCTCAACCTCAAACTTCTGGGTTCAAGTGATCCTCTTGCCTCAGCCCCCAAAGTAGCTGGGGCTACAGATGCCTACCACAATGCCTGGCTAATTTTTCTATTTTTAGTAGAGATGTGGTTTCGCTTTTGCTCAGACTGGTCTCAAACTCCTGAGCTCAAGAGATCTTCCGCTCGGCATCTGTGGCTCAAGCGGCTAGGGCACCAGCAACATACACCTAAGCTGGTGGGTTTGAATCCAGCCTGGGCCCACCAAACAATAATGGCTGCAACCAAAAAATAGTCAGGCGTTGCGGTGGGCGCCTGTAGTCCCAGCTACTTGGGAAGCGGAGGCAGAAGAATCGCTTGAGCCCAGGAATTGGAGGTTGCTGTGAGCTGTGATGCCACAGCACTCTACCCAGGGTGACAGCTTGAGGCTCTGTCTCAAAAAAAAGAGATCTTCCTGCCATTGCCTCCCAAAGTGCTAGGATTACAGGTGTGAGCCACCATGGGAGGCTGATCTTTACCTCTTTAAATGACTTTGTTCTGTACTCAAACTGTCCCCATGCACTTCTGTCCTCTGTTTCTGTCCACTCTACTTATTTTTCATGTTTTTGTAGGCCATTAGCCACCATTGGTGTCCTTCCTTATTTCTTTTTTTTTTTGAGACAGAGCCTCAAGCTGTCCCCCTGGATAGAGTGCTGTGGCATCACAGCTCACAGCAACCTCTAACTCCTGGACTCAAGTGAGTCTCTTGCCTCAGCCTCCCAAGTAGCTGGGACTACAGGCGCCCACCATGACGCCCGGCTATTTTTTGGTTGCAGCCCGGCTATTTTTTGGTTGTAGCTGTCATTGTTGTTTGGCAGGCCCGGGCTGGATTCAAACCTGGCACGTTAGGTGTATGTGGCTGGCGCCTTAGCCACTGGAGCCACATGTGCCGAGCCCTTCCTTATTTCTTATAATGCTATAACCAGTATTAGCAATTATTTAGGAATCAATCACTTTGGCCAAAGACCCAGTTTCACAAAGAAGGAATTCCTAGTTATTCTGTACAGATTTGGCCTGTTATGAGCTAGGTTAGAGTAGTCAAAGCCACGCAGAAAACATGCTGCAAAATGGAGAAGCCTGACCAAAGTTTGTAACCCTCTGCTCTTAGTCCTCTGGTCCTCTCCCCTTCCTTGCTGCACTGGCCTCAAACTGACCCATTCATTTCTCACCTAGATTACTGTAATAGGTTTCCTGGAAGAGGGGATGGTTAGGCTGAATCTTGAAAGATAAACAGAAGTCAGTCAAGCAGTGGTCTGTTTAGAAAACGATTCCCTACCGATGATGCATAGGGTCCATGTGTGAGGAAGTGGTGGCTGATAAGGCAGGAGGGATGGGCCAGGGACAGAATGGGAAGGCCTTATGAGCCATGTTAAAGGGCATTTAGATTTTATTCTAGTCATCTCAGGAAGGAAATACAAAGGAAAAAAATAGATTTTATCCTAAAGGGAATAGGAACCCACAAAAAAGTTTTAAACAGTAGATTGAAATGATCAGATTTGCATTTCAGAAAGATCACAGAGGTTCTTTAGAAGCTTTGTGGAGAATAGCAGGGGTAAGATTGAAAGAAAAGAGACTGGTTAAGAGGCTGGTGAAAATGATTACAGAGTATGAGCTAAGAAGGTAGGAACAGTTCTGAAAGATATGCAGGCAAGGTGCCTGCGGCCATCTTTTTTAGCCTAGAATCTCTATTCATGCTTTTAGTGAGTTTAGTATAATGAACTCTCCCCACCCCGCCAGCACACTTACCAAGCACAGGATGGGGGTTGGTGAGGAAAAATGGTGCAGTGCTGTTAAGGACTTCAGCAGCGGCTAGTCTAGACCCTGTGGGGAGAGGGTCTTCACAGGACAAGACAACCAGCTGAACCCACTGCTTCAGCTCAGGGGCTATTGAGTCCCTGTCCTGAAAGCACAAAACGTACACAGGTATTTATTGGTAGTGCAGAAGATGCACCCATGAGCTGACACAGAATTAGGGATGAGCTATACCAAAGCGGCCTGCAAATTAGCTCTTACCTCAGCACGTAAGAAGGTATTTCTATCCTAACTGAGAGAAATAAAAAAGCCCGAAGAATACAATCTGATTTATCTTTCAGTAATGTGGAGTCTCAGTTAACTAGAGAGCAAGTTCCTTTTGTCTTTTCTGATGCAAATAAAGTCATGAGAAAAGTAATGTTTTTGATGGTGCCAATAAAGACCAAACTTGTAGGGAAAGACTAGCAGCCAATAATAACTCTAAGTTCCCAATAACCAGACATTCCTCTTATTGTTAGTAGCAGAACCCCAGATTTTTGGCTGACCATGGCCACCTAGCTAAAGACTACATCTCCCAGCCTCCCTTGCATCTAGAAGTAACTGTGATTAAGTTCTGACTAATACGATGGTGCTACAAGTGGTATCTGTGCACTTCCAGGCCATGCCTTAGGAAGTGCCCATGGTCTGCACTTTCTGTGTTTCCTCTGTCCTAGCTGAACAAGTACAAGACTGTGGGAGCCAGGACAACCAGCTGGGACCGTAAGATGGAAGCCACATGTTAAGGACAGCAGAACAAAACAGGAGAAGAACCTGATGACTCAACACTGTCAAGCCACTGTGTGTGCTTTGGACTGCTGCTATCTGGTTTAAACCACAGTATTTATGAGTTTCTGTTACAATATTTAAAGTAGCATCTAACTAACACCATTGTTAAGACAAGCCCTGTTGTTGTTTTTAATAGTAATAGCTTTACAGATATATTAGTTCACATATCATAAAATCCACCCATTTAAAGCGGACAATTCAATGAATTCCAGTACATTGATAGATATGTGCAATCACCACCAGTCTATTTCAGAACATTTTCATCACCACAAACCCTGAGTCCTTTTCCATCCCCTAGGGCCTAAACATCCACTAACCTACTTTCTGTCTCTGAATTTGCCTGTTCTGGACATTTCTCATAACTGGGATCATACAGTACGTGGTCTTTTCAAGTTTATTCATGCTATAGCATGTGTCACTACTTCATTCCCTGTACAGCTTTCCCACATTTTGTTTACTCATTCATCAGTTGAGGGCTATTTGGATTGTTTCCATCTTTTAAACTCCGCTGTTTTCATTTTTTCTAGAAAGGGTACTGTTGTTACAGATGTACTTTACCTCCTCTATCAACCGAACGTCTTTAATGTTCCAAATGTGACTACTGATTCCTCTAATCACCTCTGGGCAGCCACAGAACTAGACTGATGAGCATCTTAGACCCTGAAGAAGATGATAACTCTAATGCACAAAGAAACCCAGTTCTCTCTAGGCTTCTTTTTGTGTGTTTCTCTATAGTTTTATTAGATTTGTTTTCTCCCTGGAAAACCCTCAAGTTTCATTAAAATTCACTTATTCAAGTAACAAGTAGTGAGGCGGGTGCAGTGGCTCACGCCTGTAATCCCAGCACTTGGGGAGGCCGAGGGGGTTGATTGCCTGAGCTCAGGAGTTTGAGACCAGCCTGAGCTAGAGCCAGACCCCGTCTCTAAAAATAGCCAAGTGTTGTGGCAGATGCCTATAGTCCCAGCTACTCAGGGGGCTGAGGCAAGAGAATTGTTTGAGCCCAAGAGTTAATGGTTGATGTGTGCTATGGTGCCAGGGCACTTTACCAGGGGTGACAAAGTGAGACTCTGTTTCACCAAAAAAATAGTGCCTTTAAAATGCACATGACGAGTGGCCAAAAGCAGCTTTAAGTAGGAATGATGCTTCGGTAGGCTTGTTAGGCTGCCTTGTGACTACTTTCTTAGAACTTTGTGTTTTTCTCTAGGCTACAGGTTTTTAGCAAATCATCTCCTTTCCTATACTTCTCCCACCCCATCTGACCTTTTTTTGGCTTTTTGTATCTCTTAGTGATCTCCTAGGTTTGGTCCTCTGGTCTGCCTTTGAATGACAGATCAAGAAAACCATACGCTTGTTAATTCTCTGGTTTTACCCAAGGCCAGCCCCATCTCTATCATGTTTTCCTCAGTGCTCAAACATTCCATCCCTCCTTTGGATTCCTACAGTCCATGTAATTACATGGTGCCCCCTTTCTTTCATTAGACTGTGCCTCTGGTCTCTGTTCATCTTTGTACCTTCAGTATCTATCTCAAGGCTAGGTTTATGGTAAGAACCCAGAAGTCTATAATGTCATGCCACCACCATAACAGTATAGTAGTATAACCAAGACCTTCAGGTAATTTTCCAGTGGTATTGGCTGCCTTCTGCTGAGAATCCTGTGAGGGCCCTATCTTTCTGACATGCACCTGAGTATGTATGTGTCTGTCTTAAGCCATCTTCCCAGGAAGCTGCTTTTCTTATTTTAGTTCCACCTCACCCCCAAAGGACATTAAAAACAGGTGGGTCACATCTGGGCCTCCATCCACAGGCAGCTGGACCACATTCTGGGGGAACATTTAAGCCATAGCAATATATTTTCATACTTAGTTCACTAGGTTGAAATCCTAAATATTCTTGGGATTGACTTGGTTTTTCTTCTTTAAATAAGGAATCTAGCTAGAAAAATGGAGAAAAAACAAGAGGTTTGGGCATGGGTGTTGGGAGAGAGGTTGTGTTACCCTCAGGGATGCTAATCAAAAATGCTCAAAATAAGAGAAAAAAAAAGGTGGTGCTCAAAAAAAGTCTTCCCAATTTACACTCAAAGTGAAAAACCAACAAAAACAATAATTTTGTAGAGGCTATATATACACGTCTCAGTGATTCTGCCTGCTGAGACACTTCAGTTTTACTGACACCTTCTGGGAAAAAGAGAGCACAAAACCCAGACCCCTGAACAGGAACAGACCCAGCCTTACCTCTGCATGTGTCTGCATGTGATGGGCAATCACTTTGGATGCAAGCCTCAAAGCTACGCTGTGAATTTCAGATCTAGAAAAAGCAAGCAGAAAAACACACAAAATAAAATGAAACATATTTTATAACAGATCGCTTTTGCAGATAGTCTATAATCCATGCATATATGAACACTGGGAATCTCTACCTCCTTGTTATATAAATGCCTTCAGAAGTGATTACCTTTTGGTTATTAGAATGAAACTCTGACATCATTCCAATGCTTGAGTTAGAACACAGCTCCTAGGCTGAAGCCCTGAATGCAGTCCAGGCCCTGAGTCCCAGAGCCTGGATTGTGTGCCATTAATGACAATGAAACCATATATCCTACCAAGAGTGTACAGGGAACACTGAGGGCAAACCTTTCATTAGAAGCAATATCCATTGTCCAAATCAAGAACTCCTTTGGGGTTAGATGCACACAGCGCTCCGTCTGGGGAAGCCATTCACTAGGGTCCATGCAATGCAGAATTTTCAGTATCTGTATGAACCAAATCCATTAAGAAGAAAAAAAAAAAAAGAAAGAAAGACTCAGGGAAAAGTGTCCATATGCTAAATAAAATTCACTTGTACCACTAAGTGGCTCTGTCTTTCAAAAGGCCCCACCGACTTCTTATTTCCCTTGTTATACCTTTGGGAGACTGAGTTAGGGTAGATCAATGATTGGCCAGAAGTCCCTAGAGACTTGGGATCAGAGCCAAATGCCCATACTCTTAGGCCAGTGCTCCTTCTTTTTGACTATGCTTTCTATGTGGCCATCTGCTCACAAACAGCCATGTCAGCAAAGACTCCCTCTGACACATACAGGTAATTTTCAATGATCTGTTTCCTAAACATCCTGGAGTGGCTTGCTCTGCCTTTGGTTAATCTCTGCCATTAATACCTCTATCATCAGAGGCTTTCCTCAGTGCCCTTTTATGCATGAAGCCATGCCAAGCGCCATACAAAGACAGCCCTTATTCTTTGGATGCTCAATCTACTTGCTAATGTCCCTGGAGCGCCCAAACCCAATCTTACCTTCATCATCCTACCATTCTGGTGGGTCACCCAAGAACGTGGGGAGTGAAAGGGGATGGTTAATACGTCAGACTTTACCTTGCAGAAACATTCTGGGTGATTTTCCTTCATTGCCAAAAGCAAGAACTTCTCTCCCATGTTGCACAGCAAGGGCAGCAGTCCCTTCTCTCCTGATCCAGAGGCTGCTAATGAGAACCTGTCCAACAGGGCTTCCAGGGTCAGTAAGCGCACTTCAGGGAAGGTGGATTCCAACAGCTGAGGGAAGGAGATGGGAACATCCCTTGTCTGCTCTCCACTTTTGGCCACCACTGCCCACACTGCAGCAATGGCTAGTCTGGTGAGGCTCTGGAGGTACTGGGGCAGGCCTGGCACCTTGAAGGTACAGGGAAATCCTGTTACCAGCTCTGATTCTGAGATAATTCCTCTGATGTCATCCCAGAAGCCAAGACTTTCCAGAACTAAAAAGCAAAGAAAGCAAAGGGAAAGAGGCATCACTTTATTCAACTTTCCCACAAAGGACATGGCAGAACGTTAGGCTCTGAATGCTCTGAAACCATCAGATGTCTTTCCTAAGTAGATGTCAGACAAACAGTATAATAACTGACTAGCCCACTAAGGTTCAGACTTCTGGCCCAGAAATAATTTCTATTTAGGTTATTCATAATCCACCCCCCCCAGGGGAACAAAGGCATTACTATCAGAAATCTTCCAGGACACTAAATATATATAAATTTAGTGACCTCTTAAGTTACTGAGCCCCAAAGTTGACCAGGAGAAAAAGATACCTCGTCCACACTTCCTTCAGGAGTTCAAATCATTTCTACAATATCTCTTCCTGGAGGATACTGGTTGAACCCCACCGTGACCTGGAGCCCATGAGATAGCTTATTCCACTGTTGGTAGATCTATTTGTCACAAAGTTCTTTTTTGGAGTTTCCACTCTTTGGTCTAATACTGCATTTTGAGGAGTCCAATAAAAGCTCTTTAGGCATCTGGTTACAATTATTGTGTCACCAATGTAAGGGTATGTGGCACACCTCTTGGGTATAGGACACAACTACAAGAGGGATCAAATGCAAACATTGTAACCTAGTTGTTTGTACCCTCTTATTAACCTGAAAAAACAATTATTGTGTCCCCTATGTCTTCTCCAGATGAAACACCCCCATTTCCTTCCCCAAAGGGTAAGGTTCACCTTCTCTCATTACTCTAGCTGCTTTCCTTTTCACATCCTCACCCTCTCTTAAAGCAGGCCCATAGAATGGGTCATGACGCTTCTGCAGTTTGGCCAGGAAGACTATTACTTTCCCTGTCCTGAACACTAGGTTACTGGAGTTGCATTACACTGTTGACTCACACAAAGCATAAAGTCAATCGAAACCACAGCCCTTCTTTTCTTTTTTTTTTTTTAACATGATCTACTGATGGTGGTGAGTCATTTTTCTCCCTCCTTTACTCAATACTTAAGTTGAGACTTGTTTTGTTTGTTTTAAATCCAAGTATACCGTTAATTTTTTTCTCCCTGTTAAGTTCCATGGTCTGTCTTTTAGTTGCTGAGATCTTTTTGAATTCTTAGTTCAGATCAAAAAACTTACTACCTGGCCTGCTTACTATATGCTAGGAGCTAAATAAAAAGTTTGTGGTTTGAGAAGGAGAAACGCATGAACAAATAATACCAGTCAACACAGTGGTATAAACAATAAGCTGAGTCTTAATGGGGAAGCAAGGTGAGAACGTGTTGGAACCACCAAAGGCAGAGGAGCCACCTGAGCAAGGGCTCAGTGAAGGCAAGGAGCAGAATGTCCATGTGGGTAACTATGAGCCACCTGTTATCGTATCACTAAAGCAGAAAATCTGAGGTGGGGAAGGCTAGAGAAGGAAGAAATGAGGCCAGGACACAGACAGCACAGACTAGACAATGAGAAAGAGCTTAGACGTTCTTCTGTAGGCAAGAGAATGACACTGAGGAGTTATTTTAAGTAACAAGGTCAGCGTCATGTTTTTGCTGAAGTGCTCTTATTGCTGAGGGGCAATATTAGAGGCAGGGAGACCGGTTTCTTCTGGAGTGGCTTATCAGACAGCATTTAAGTTAGAAGCATTTTATGGGCTTATAAAGTATTTTGATATTCATCATCTCATTATAACTCCGTGAACCCTGCTGACTTGTAGAAAACTAACATAAACAAAGTGGAAATGTAAAACATTAAGGCAAAAACTTGGAAAAGCTCATTTAAAATTGAAAAATTGTATAACCTTGCAATAATCCAGGAATTAAAAATACAGAATATTCATGTAATGTATCAAAGGTTCAAAAAGAAGTCTGTCCCGGGAGGCAAACCAGGGACTGGACTAGGTCTGTGGTATGATGGCATTCCATGGCGACCAGCCCCACCTGCACTTGGAGACACCCCTCTGCTCTTAACTCAGACTCCACTCAAGTCCCTCCTGAACAGGAGGTGGTCACCTTCATAAAGCCCCAGGGAAGCCCCAGGTAGTCAGGATCCTCAATCTTCTAGTCATCTCTATTTTCGATAACTAAAAATACCTAATCCTGCTACAGTTTAGTAAAGTGAAGACCACAGTACTATGGTCTCCAGGTGCCTGACTGGAAGAGGAGAGAAAAGGGCAAAGACTTAGGAAAGGCCAGACACAGGGAGACCTTCCTGTAGGCTTGCTGCATTAATGTGTCAACAGTGGAGGAGAAAAAGAGGTTAGGTTTGAGCCAAAAGGTAGAAAGTTATAAAGTGTTGTTCACTTAGGCACTTTCTCCAAACTACTACTTGGAAAAAATATGCTCTGTTGTACAGCAGTTAAGACCCAACAAGATGGCCTGAAGCAGAGCTTCTCAAATGGAGTGTGCATCAGAATCCCCTGGAGGGCTTGTTAAACCACAGAGAGCCACCTAGGCCTCACCCTGAGTTTCTGATCCAGGAGGTCTGGGGTGAGGGCTGATAATCTGCATTGATTAACGCTCACAGGTGAAGCTGCTGGTGCTGATCCCCGTATTCTGAAAACCACTGCCCTTAAGTAAGGTAATAACCAAGGTTATTAAAACCACACATGCCTGAATCCCACTCCTGTAGATTCTGATTCAGCTGGTTTCAAGTTGGGCACAGATAACTATAATCGTAAGTAGCTGGGTGAGGCAAGAGAATCGCCTAAGCCCAAGGAGTTAGAGGTTGCTGTGAGCTGTGACTTTATAGCACTCTATGAGGGTTAATAAGTGAAACTCTGTCTCAAAAATAAAAAAATCTTTTTTCATTTTTGAGACAGAGCCTTAAGTTGTCACTCTGGGTAGAGTGCCGTGGCATCACAGTTCACAGCAACCTCCAACTCCTGGGCTCAAGCGAGTCTCCTGCCTCAGCCTCCCAAGTAGCTGGGATCACAGGCGCCCACCACAACGCCCAGCTATTTTTTTGGTTGCAGCTGTCATTGTTGTTTGGCAGGCCCGGGCTGGATTCAAACCCACCACCTTAGGTGTATGTGGCTGGCGCCTTAGCCACTTGAGCCACAGGTGCCAAGCCAAGAATAAAAATTAAAAAAATTTAAAAAAAATTAAAAATTAAAAAAAAGAAGAAGCTGGCAGGTAATTCTACATGCCCCACCTGTGAACCACCCCAAGTGCCAACTGTCACTGGGGTTTATAGGCTGAGCAGTTGGGAGTTTCAAGCCGAGAGCAGTCAGTTCTAGCCTAGTACTTCCTAGTACTAGGTAAACAACTAAAAAATTGATCACACCCCACTTTCTCTTACTGAAAAACCAAAAAAAACACAAACAAAACCCCCAAACCACCAAAAGACAGAAAATGATCAATAATTCAAAATAATCACTAAGCACTATAAAGGGCCCTGGCAGGCAGCCTTCAACAACGTGAGCGCTGGCTCACTAAGCACAGGTTCTGTCCTAGGGCTCCAATGTACCAGTAGGAGTGAGTTAGAAAGACCAGGCTCAGTCTTATGAAGCTCCTATCTGGTGGGGACCACAGGAACTACTCCCTCTCGGTAAGCAGAGAGAGGGTGACTCTACCCCCCTAAAGTGGGGGTAGAAATGCCCGACACGTCAACACAAGCTGCTGCAGTGACTTTCCTCGGTTGCTCTCCTATCGCACAGTGGTTCTCAGCCCACAAAGCATACTGAATTCATCTGACAGCTTTAGAAAAACACTTATGTCAGGGGACACCTGGGACCACATTTCTGAGAGTCCTGGCAGTCTGATTTTAAAGTGACTAAAAGGCAGTGGTTTTCAGAATACGGGGATCACTTTAGTGAATATTTGAAGATAAAGTGACTGAAGATCGCTTTAAAGTGATCTTATTAAAGAGTCACTTCAATACTTTAAACTTTAAAGTGACTTATTAAAGTTTTTCCAAGTTTTGCAGCTACTGTTTTAGTGAATCTACAGATTACTGCAGGCAGAGTTCGTCAAATGGTTTTCACACCCAGGATGGGTCGCTCCCTGGTGAAGAAGTGTTTGTCTTTCCATACCAAATCTATTTCAAAGTTTAGATCAACATATGTATTTTCATTTCAATGAATGTTTTTTGTCTGCAGGACACAAAGAACCAAAATTAGTTCCTAAGTCTGAAGTTTAGAAGCCCTCTACTCTCACGGAGTGTAATTTTTAAACCTTAACTTTTCTACTTGGAATATCTGTTTTGATTGCTTTGGTTTTCTTTTTTCTTGGAGAGCCGAATGAATCCAAGTCTCGGCCAGGCGCAGTGGCTCATGCCTGTAATCTGAGCACTCTGGGAGGCTGAGATGGGTGGATTGCTGGAGGTCAGGAGTTTGAGACCAGCCTGAGCAAGAGCCAGATGCTGTGTCTAAGAAAAGCCAGGCATTGTGGCAGGCACCTGTAGTCCCAGCTACTCGGGAGGCTGAGGCAAGAGAATCACTTGAGCCCAAGAGTTTGAAGTTGCTATGAGCTGTGATACCACTGACATTCTACTGAGGGTGACAAAGTGAGACTCTGTCTCAAAAAAAAAGAATCAAGTCTCTGCTTTAATAGCCCCATCCTATTTTTCATAAGTTAGAATGATTTCTGCAAACTCTTATTGTTTGGAGCTTTTTCCTGCCCTCTCTGTTTGGAAAGTCTTTGCATGTTCCCCCCAGTACAGTCATTTCAGCCACTCAAGGATGTGTGTGACTGATTGTAAACATACAATTTGATTTCATTTTTGGAATTAACTCGCCTTCTTCAGGGCAAGTATATTTCTAGCCTTCTAGGGAATGGCTGGATTCACATGGAAGGATAATAATTCCAACTCTGCTATATCCTGGTTCTTGGAGAAATAATTCCTAATAAAATGTCACAAACAATGTGGTGAACTGGTATAAGCTGCCAACTTTTTATTTTGCAAAGGATGTTAAAAAACTACTATCTATTATTTCATGAAAGAAAGGCTATCTTACCACCAGAAAGGAAGGAAATCATAGTGTCATCATAAAGGACAATTCTTTA